ACAGGTTTCAAGATAACCATCTCTGGGATTTAATTTGTAGTGCTAACAGCATTGAAAAAATAAATCACATTTAGAAAATTCTTCTCCAACAATTTCCCCCTTCTGATAATCCACAGAACACACTGTCAACTGTCTTCGGTGGACCTATTAAGTATAAAGTTGTTCCTATAAAAGCTGTTCACAGCACCCATGATGAATTCAGGAATGCTTTTCCTGTTTCATTGCGATCTCCTGGCCAGCTGCTGCAAACTCTTAAGTCAGAGTTTACTTTTATTAAACCTTTACATGCGCATTTTCGGAAACAGTGATGCATTGCATTCGGAAATGTAGTCTTGTTAACTAGTTCAGTAGACTGAGTTTAAGCCGGTTAACTGGAGATAGCCAGGTAGATGAGGGGGGAAAAGGCCTTTGGCCAGAATAAACTTTAAGCTTGTTGTTTTTCTTTTCTTTCCTCCACTATTTGGTGCGAAACTTGTTTGAAGTTTTACACCTAAACATGTTATTTCAATGGATATAAAAGTACATATAATGTTTTTTGTTTTGTGCATGTTTTACCAGAAAATATCTTGTTATACTTTTGGTGTTTGATATATTGCAGTTTCATGTAATCACATGTAGGATCAGCCAAATGTTCGGCTTGACATGGAAATAAAATTAATTGCTAATTAACTAGCAATGTGCCATCAACTTGTCTTGTTCAATATTATTCTACCAGACTACAAATGGCAGCATCGCTCTCATAAACCACTTACAGTTAGTGATTGCTCTGCTAATATTTCTTCATTACCACCCCAAAATTATGATATCACTAACCCTTTTTGGGTGGGTGGTTGGATAGTCAGGCATTGCGCAGCAGTTAGACTGAACAGAAGGCAGACCTTGTTTCTGGAAATACGTGTTGCTGTTGAATTTGTAAAATCTAATTCTTTAATGCTTTGAGCAATACAAACATTTAATTCACCTCCTTTGTGTGTGAGTTGAGGCAGAAATCACAGCCATATCTCACAACCTTAGCCCATAACTATCTGCTTAGTTGGATATCACAAGGACTAAGCAAAAAGAGTTGTCGCAAAAGTTGTGACAGTACATTAAAAACCGCATTGGCAAAGAGGAACAAGTTGAAGCTCGCTGACCGGGGAAGAGTTGCTAGATATTCACTTATTGTTAAGTGCTGCTGCTATTCTTCCTTCCCCTGTATTATCACATGAGTTTGCCAAAATACTTTCATTATTATGTGCTGTATATTTATGTATTTGCCAACCCGAGTTTGTCATAGCAGGGTATTAGTATTCACAGGTGAGTGAAGCACAATCAAGTGCGATCTAAAGTGATGAAAATGTCTGGGTGAATTATTTGACCCAATAAAATAATTAGTGCATCAGGAAAGTGGCAGAGTGGTGAAAGCATTTTCATCAAGAAATATCCACGGGGTTCCAGTTGATTTACCTCTACCCGTAGCTAAACAATCGACCCATCCAAGATAAATGTGTTTGCCTGCAAAACTACAGCCGTATGCAAATAGCTACATAAAATTCCTCCTCTTGTCTCTTTCCCTTTCTTCTCCCTTGCCAGGCTACCTGCCATCGCACACAGACATCAAGCTCTCTGATGAAGCGCCCCATGTGTTTTAATGTTGAGAGTCTATGACCGACTCGAAAGCAATACATCTTCTTTGGCAGTTACTTCCAGCAAGCTATGAAACCACGGTCACAATGAATGGTCTCAAGTGTTTTGCTACCCATGCATGGATGGACCAGTTCACACTGTGCTGCCTAATCCCTCTGAGGAGACTGTACAGATTTATACTTGCTTCTTGAAAAGGGACACTTTTTGACTGAAAATACTTGTATTTTTGCAAGGACATTGATCTTTTTATGTAAATAATGTACATCCATAATGGAAGGAGTTATAGTTATTTGTCTCGGCTGGTTACAGCTGCGCCTGCTCAAATATGAAAATATTAAACAGCGGAACAGAAGTGATGTATAATAATATCTCAAAATATGCTTCGGTTTTTGTTCTTTGGGCTTGTGTTTGTGAAGTTTACTTTGTTTAACTATGTGGAAACAGCTTATCTGAGTAAGACAGTGAGGGTAGCAGATTCATTAAGCTCTGTACAATCAGTAAATCTTATCACCAGATTCTCATCAAATGAAAGCTTGCAATATCCAGGAGATGAGGGAGGGCTCCTACTCCCAGATCTGTGTATTCCATCAAGCCCGCCGCTCAAAATGTTATACATGTCATAACAAAAATAAGAACAGAAGCAGAAAGTGGATATACTAGATAGGTATATACAGTAGATGAGCAATCCCTCTTGTTTAGGAGACTGCAAATCATTTTAGAGGCAGTGGAATGAATGCTAACATCATAAATGTTACTACTTTAAAACAGATTCTACACAAATCTTTTGTCTAATCTAAATCATACATATGGATTATATTGTTGTAGCAGCAATTTTATATTTGATTGTTTCACAGACAATGACTTTTTAACTTGTGTTTCATATTTACTTGTTGCCGGGAGCATTTCTTGTACATTCTGGTTTCTATAACAAAAAAAAAAGAACTACATGTAAATTCTCAATAATTCCTGTGTTAACAGAAGAAGCTACGATACAGCAGCAAACACTTGCTGTAATGCAGTAAAAAGTGCTACAGTGCCATGTCTGTATGACAATTACTTATTAGTTAAATGTATTAGCTATTTGTTTGTGTTCTCAATTTGCCACCATAAAGTTAAAAGACTCCTTGACACAGATGCATATTTTTGTTGTTTTTCTTTGAACTGATCTCACTGTGAAGGTTGCGGTGCCTTCTTACAGGAAGTAGAACAACAGCTAAACTAGACCAGATCTGAGCAGGAAGAAGTTGTCTTTTTACGTTATGTTAAAACACCTTTTGTTTATTCTGGACTATTTATTTACCATGATTATACCAACATCTCCAAATGGCATTTCCTCAATTTACAGTAACGCAGAGGAGCCTGCAGTCTGTGCTAGGTTTGCTCCCAAGGACTCAGCGGACAAAAGGCTGCAGATTTGTTCATCTCATTCGCTGCTAGGGACACAGAGATAGAGAAGACGTATCTCCTGTCAACAAGGCTCAGCCTACGCACAGAGCTTTGGTCAGCTGCTGTCTCTTTGGGATAAGTACTGAAGTTCTTCTTCATCAAACTTTTCTTTTTAAGAGTTGTCAGCAGCATTTGTCAGTAAGACAAATTGACTAGAGACTTCTCCATACTTCTTCCCCCCAATCCTGCGATTGAGCCTAAAGCAAAAATAACCTTGTGATCATCACCAGGTGAACGCCGTCTCTCCACACCGATCATCGGAAGAGTTTTATTTTGTGCTTGTTTATTTATTTAACAAAGTTTTTAAGCCCCAGTAATCAACCTGTAAATACGATTGTGAACATATTTGCATGATGTTTTTTCTCCCTTCTTTCAAGATACTTAAAATATGTTTTAATTAGAAAATGTTAGAAATGTGAACTGCAGTATTTTCTGTTTCTCAGAGGCTAGACGCCGCATTGATTACAAGTGACGTGATTATTCAGTGGGTTGTTTCTGTGTTTTTCCATTTGATCTTGCAGAAGTGACCATGGTTGTGGAATAAAGCAGAAACAACATTAACGCAGCAAGGCTGGTTGTTAAACTCGTTTCTAAAGGCACAAACGGCTCATTTGTGCCGTTATCGATCTATTGTAATCTATGTAAGTTGACTGCAGCTTTTAGTTGTGTTTGACCTTTGATTTAATCAATCAACAGACTTCATGAAGGGCAAAACTGTGACTTCACCTCAGCTGACTGTGAGTCCGTCACAAATTGGTAGTTCTGATCGACAGGAACTCTTATTTTGTCGAAATTTGTTGCTTTTTCTGCTTTGTCTCTAACAATGTTGCTTAGCAGGCTCAAAGTTTCAGTGCCATTTGCATGACACAATGGGGCAGAGCTGGAGGACAATGAAAAGCACCAAGTAGCCTGGAGTGATTCTAATGGGCTGGTTCCTTGGCTATCCCACTGTGCATCAAATTAATTATCCCCTCTCCAGGAAATCGAGACACACACACACACACACACACACACACACGGAAGATTTTCCCAGTCTGGGTAGCACCTTGAATGAAAAATGTCCCACAACAATAACCCACAGCAATATTGTGTTAGCCACAGTGTGAAATTGATGAGCATGTTTCCTTTCATTGAGTGCTACATTACAGTGTCTGGCTGCAGCGAATCATCCATTAGTGATTGTCACCGTTCAATTTGATTGTGCACCGCTGAACATCCCATGGCAGTTAGAGAAAGGCCTTGGTGTTAATTCAGACTGAGAGCAAGAGCGAGAATAAGACTCTCGGGGTGTCGATGGCTATTGGACTGATGAAGATTGGTGTGTGTGATAGGAAGTGGCAAACAAAATGCAAAAGAGGAGGAACAAGGGCCTTGTTGCTACAGCTTTGTGTGTATAGAGTTATTTCAGCCAATCATCTGCACAGTTCTGTCCTTCAACCTTGCCGTGTATTTAATTTTAAGACTTTTGTTTTTCAGATCTGAGAACGAAGGAACAATATTAACGGCAGTAGTTCTTCTTTACAAAATCATCTGTTTCTCATCATTCGACTACAGCCTCAGTAATTGTTCCCATTAAATAGAAACCATTTGGGACTGACAACTTGAGTGATAGAGGTAAAATGAAGCTCAGTCAAAGTGTCAGATGGGAATCTTCACATGGGTGTTATCACACTTCTGCCCATTAAAGCCAACTTCAGGGCCTCTGCGGGATCATTATAAGTGGTGGGCTGAGGCTGATACACTAGTGCTACAAGGCACCTATGTTTCAGATAAAACTGTGGCAATGCTGTAAAAACAAAGCTTCATGAACTCATTTGTTTTCATGTTTATGTCATGACAACATGGGCATTTCTCATTCACTGAAAAAAAAGTGTATTACAACAAACTATTATAGTAGGTGCATGCATAATAGAAAAAACATAATTCCATACAAAAATACATTTATTTTGAACAATTTTAAAATGGCAATTTGTTCACAGTAAGAAATATGATTCAAAACAAGACGGTTCTTATATCATCGACAAATGAACAATATCATAGATCATGCACAACTAGCCTATTAGACAAGGTGTTTAATAATTTGATGTGTCAAGTAAACTTTAAAACCAACCATGTTATGTTATATTATATATATATATATATATATATATATATATACATACATACATACACACACACACACACACACACACACACACACACACACACACACACATACATACACACACACACACACACACAGTACTCGCTCACCCTAATATAGTCTTCAGTCTTTTAACACAGATTATTAGGGCATGCTACTGTAAAAAATAGAATAAAGACGACAAACAGCTTGTTGTGAGACTGAAGGTCATGGAAACATTACTGTCTGTTCTGTGGTTTAGGATGGAGCTACTGTATAGATTTACATTTCGTCTTATTCTATATACACATTTTTAGTATTTCCACACCTAAGGCTAGACTTTCATGTCAATTTGTCACATTTTTGTTGTGTACCATCATCTGAGAAACAGTCAATGAAAGCACCATGTTATCTTACAGAGCAACTACATATTTCTTTCTTAAAGGCATTCACAACAGTCAGATTATTACATTTTATATTCATTACTGTATATTTACAACTAAAAGACCTCTAGTTATAGGGTGGTAAATGTTGATATATCTCCAGAGCGTAAAGTTAACCCTATTTAACATACCAAAATTGTAATTAAATCTAAAATGATCTATTAACGATATTTCTGTCTTACAGAGGCAGAGCAAGGTGTGTTCTGCCTTAAACAGACAACTTTTTGTTGTTGGGTTGTATTATCCATTCGGGATGTAACAAAAAGACACAAAATTATAAGAAAAATGAAAATAAAATAGGAAATTAAAAGGTTACACTTGAGAAATTTTATAGCCTGCGGGTTCAATTCATGAGCAAACATTATGCTAAGAGGGAAACATTATCAACATGTACGGTAAGATTTGAAAAACTTTTTATACATTAGTTTGTCATTTTAAGCTCTGTATTATTATTATATTTCTCGAGGGCCTAAATATCCTGTTTTTGTAAGTCACGATCAATCTCTGTCATTCAATGCTGAACTTTATCAAACTTATACACAAATACAGTAAAACCTGTACACTCCACTGTCTCCTGTACTGACCCATGAGCAGTGGTGGGATGTAATTAAGTACATTAACACTACTAAGTACTGTGCTTAAGTATACATTCCAGGTACTTGTATTTTATTTGAGTATTTCCATTTTATACAGCTTTATACTTCTACACTATTCAGGGGCAAATATTATACTTTTTTACTCCACTGCATTTGTCTGACAGCTTTAGTTGTTTCAAACCTCTTCTGTCCAGTGAAAACCACGTATCTCCAAATTTGTTGATTCTGTGTGTGTTTATGGGTTAAAACAACTCCTACTACTTAAACTAAAGAACCTATTTTAAAAACCTTCTTGGATTAGCTGGAAAATGCGTTGTCACAAAGCTGAAAACAGGGCTGTTTTACTGAGCTCATGAAAAGGTGACTTTTGAGAGACACATGGTTCTCACAGGACAGCGACGCTACAAACTCATGATGATGCGTTGTTGTAGATTTAACTACCCATTTTTCTGATAATGCTTGTACTGTAAATTAAGTAACATTTTGAACGCAGGACTTTTACTTGTAGTGGAATGTAGCGGTACTTCTTCCACCACTGCCCATGAGTGAATTGTACTTTTCTCATTTACATTATTTTAAAGATATTTCTCAAATTGTCTTTTATAGCTTTTGAGGTATTTAATTTCAGAAACTCAGTCTGTTTTCATTTCTTGACAATACTCACATCAGCTATTCATCAGTGATGTTGACGTAGAGCTAGGGAACCTTGATGCTAACTGGACATTTTGTGCTGTGTGCCGTAGTTATCAGCTAATTTCAGCAATTCACCGCCCTCCAACTAGAGGCCCTCAAGTCTGGCTCAGTGGACTCATCTTCATCAAGTATTGTAAAGTAGATATTTATCTATCCATGTGAGTTTAAAACATGACTTTGAACAATAGCTGCTATCAGCGTGAAATAAATAAAAAACAATGCCAACAAAGCAAACAATTTCAGCACAATTGTAACACAACAATCTGTACTTACTTAGTGACAGAGCGCATTTCTTAGACATTTGTACAGTTTGGAAATTCCCTTGTTACAATTCTCTCCATATTTCTTCCAATTCTTCCTGAAAACATGCAAACAAATGACAAAATAGACAAAATATAAGGACGGTCAACTGCTTTGCACATCACAAGTTGCTTGCTTTGAGGATATGGTAATAAAAGAACTGTGAGAGAGGATCCATGCAAACAACTTTGAGCTGTAATAACTATCTTTAACATCAGCCAAACAACTCAAAGTTCAATCTTGCGTTCTCTAATCTTTTTACGTGACGATCACAAGCTTTTACACTTAATTATAAAGTCATCACCCATGCATTTCTGTTGAAAAGCCCCCTGTTGTCTCAAAGGAACACGGTCTATCCAAGCAGGGCTGAGCTAGCGATGGAGGGCTGATAGGATCGCTGTGAGGGGTCGTTCAGATTGTGCAGACACTGGCTTATTCAAAAGGTGCTGAAACAGTGTCAGTAGTTTTAAATTTAGTGATTTGTAAAAAGCAGCATGAAATTTCATGTTTGCCCATATAACTAATAACCTGGCAGTGATTTCATCAAAGTAAAGATCTGGCAGTCAGTTCAGATTTGCTAAAGAAAATATGATGTATGAGTTTTAAATTGCTTTTACATGGAGCGTATTTTAAGACTAAAATCTGTCTGTAGCAAAATCAAAATTTGAAGAATGTTTAGAATTGAGTTCTGAAAGGTTAAATCTAAGATATAAATGTCTCATAAGCCTCAGCAGACGTTACTATATCACAGTATGCCAGCCAGGATTGGCTGATTTCAAAGAGCTGAGTGTCCATGAGGGAAGAGACCTGAACCTGTATAACTGCTAAAATTAAAAAGTTTAAATCCCTCACTTTTACTTCTACTCACACACTTAAGATTATAAGATATTAATCAAACTTAATCTCAAGTTGGCTAAAAGTACATCATAGATGTTTGCAGTACCACCAGAGAGGTGAGCACACACCTTTTGAGACATTTTTTGAAGTGACTGTACAAAATAATTTCTCTGATGTGCCTCATCTACCAGCTGCAGAATATTTTTCCTGTTCCAGTTTGGGTATCTTTTTGTTTAGTTTTCAATCAGTTTACTATTATTTCATCCAAACAGTATATTTAGACCTTATACATGTATTAAATTGCTGTTCATTTCACATGTAAAGACGTTGAAGCTGCGATAACGGAGTTTCTGGCCAATTGTGGGCAGTGTTAACACATCACCTTTTAAGCTGAGATGGCGAGTTAGCAACTGTTGTTGTTAGCAAACAGTTGCTTATTAACACCCAGCAGATACAGCGCAACGTCATGATTCATATGGGGTGGTGGTCATCTTGAGAAGTAAATCATTATACATTCAATACAATATTCATTCTCTCTTAGCTCTATTTTTGGTCTCCACCAACTCATGAGGAAAATATCTGGTTCTTTAGCAGCTAAATGTAGCATTATATTCATCAGCTATTGGCTAACTGTGTCTGTGTGCTGTTTGGTGCTTAGGAGGTAGTGTACAGGGGGGTTTTAGAGCGGTGAAAGTGAACCAAAAAAGTAAAGTTTTGAAGGGCCAAACAGCTGAAACTCACTATAAAGCTCCATGAAACTGAGGGGAGCTGCAGAATCAGGTGATAATTCTTTATTGTTTTCACATCATTTTATGCATTGGTATTTATAAAAAAAGTAAATTATTGCCACTTTATAGGTTTCATACTAATAAAAATGTAAATTACAAATGTTTAACAACATCACTAAGTAAAAGGTAAGGATTTTTAAACAGTGGAGCAGATGTAGGGTAAATCCTTGTCTTTGATAGGCTGTTAATACATGTGACAAATGATGTGATTACTTGAGAGTTGCTGTTACACTTTCCACACTTTACTGTCAGTAGGAGTAAGTTGCTTCATAAATATTTATTATTCACATTCACCTTTTTTAGACTAAATGGGCTCTTTAGACCAATTTTAACTGTAATTCTTAGAGGTTTGATGAGTACAGGCTCTGCTGTCTATATACTTGGCTTAAGTCACCCCAACCTTCATCAATATATCATATCAAAAATATTCACCTCTCCCTCACAGCACGAGCATCAAGGGTGGATTAGCAAGACTATATAATATAAATACAGTATGCAATATAAATATAAAAATGTACTATAAATAACACTTTTTTCATAGTATTCATTTTGCATCTCTCACACTGGGAAACACTGCCTTTATTGCAAAGTAGACCTGTTCTGATGACCTCCTGTCTTGTGCGATGCATAATGTCTTTTACAGCTTTATAAATTCTTATTTCAGCTGAACTGCAAATTTCTACTTATTATGAAACATGAGCCCGTGTGAGCTGTCGTGTTAATCATTCTGAACCAATTTGCATTAACATAAATCAAATTAAGATTCTTAACTGAACTTGCATTCAAATTTTCATTTTAATCTGTCAAATCCTGTTTTAAATATTCAAATATTCAAATATTCATTTCAACCTTTATGAATTTTGACTGTGATTTTACTTCACAGTTCTGGCTGTTCTGTGGCAACTATCAAAGACCTGCAGATTCTTCTTAGAGCTTTTAAAGCCATTTAGACTAAAAGGAGAAGACATAAAATCAATGAACACTGGCATTAATTAAATTAAAACTGTTTAATGGTTCTTCTCTGGTAGGGGGCATGTTCCCCATTGGCTGGCGTAAGACTTACCTTGCAGACTTACTTTACTTCATAAAATATTTCAGAGGGATATTCAGTTTATACTAGGTCAATTTTAAATAAATATACATGTCAGAGTAACTGTAGATAAATAAATGAAGGCAATATTAAAAATTGATGAATTATTGCCATTAATCCTGCAGGAAGACTGACCGTGACCTTCACTAGCAGATGATAGATCTTCTTATATTCTTGTGAACTGAATTGAAGTTGGATACAACAGACTCAGCGTTATGGGAACATTTGTCTCCCAGCCAAAATCAGACTGCATGAGAAACAAGCCAAGCCTCCAAGTATAAATGAAATCTTTAAACAGCATGCTTGTAAATTCATTTAATCAAGCCCCAAATCAAAGGTTGCATGCTGCTCTGCCCTTTCTGTAAATAAACACTTTCGAAAGTAACCAAAAGGAGTTAATTTGTTTCAGATCAGTAAGGACTTGGAAAGGTAGAAACAGCTGAGAAATGAAGAACAGTAGAAAGTGCTGAGTGACCAGAAAAAAGGCCTGCAGCCCACATGTCTGTGTCAGGAGCACTGCAATGCTACTTTTGTCAAATAACCCACACTGTCTGCAGGGACTGAATAGTTCTCGTCTAAATGACATCACAGTGGATGTCAGCCATAGCAATCAAACAGTTAACTTGTTATCGTGATATCTGGTTACTGGGCTGCAGTTGCTCTTGTGGTGTACAAATCTGCAAAATATGACACATTGCATTGATAAAGACATTCCAGCACCTCAGATGTGTGCTGACTTCAATGTGCAGTAGTCTTGCTCATAGAAAAGACTTCATTTAAATAAAGCTGAAACAACGTCATTGTGTTCTGTGTTTACACCAAATACAGCTTCAATTTATTCAAAACAGATGCTCTGTGATGTGTTTTTAGGGCAAGAAAATGTTAATCAGTATCAGTCTGTCACACTGACAGTCATCCTTTAAACCCTGTACTAATGTGTTTGAGTAGTACAGATATGAATATTCTGTATTTAATTTAGTCTTGGCATTAAAAGTTGCATCATAGATGTCATATACTATATTTTTGACTATATATCCTAAAAAACATTCACTCAAGTGAGTGGTGGGAAGTAGATTTACTCAAGTACAATTTTGAGTACTAACTTGACTATTTTAATTTTATACTACTTGATACTTTTACTCCACTACATTTCAAGGGGAAATATTGTACATGTTACTCCACTACATGTATTTGTACCTGTAGTTACAAGTTACTGTGCAGATGATAAAAACCTATGAGCATATAAAATGCAATGCATTGATACACAGGCTGAGATTGAGTGAATTTCTGAGAAGAGAAGGGCAGCTGAGCTGAGGTAAGAAAGTTTGATAAATTAAAGAATGAATAAGACAAGAAACCATAGTCAGACTGGTCATCTGCAGCACCGGGTCGCTACGGACAAAGAGCGAGAAAGATGTGTTGTCAGCCAACTATGATTATGCACCAGCCCACATCCTCCATCCTAAATTCCAGTTAATCAAAGTTTTGCAGCTGCAGCCATAAGACCGAAGACAATAGGGACAAGATCATCCTTAATCCTTAAATTAATTTCATTATTTCCTTAAAATTGTTGTTTCATTTGATGACCTTGCTGCCCTGGCATTTGGCCTTTATGACCTCAAAAAATTGACAACCCCAAAGGCCACATGGCCTTTCCCCCTAAAAATACCCAGGCCTGGGTATTGCTACTTTTACTTAAGAAATATATCATTATCCGTCATCCACCACTGATTAAAATACAAAATAGAAAACACAAGTAAAACACATAGTAAACAGAAAATGTGTAGCCAGTGTACCTCTGCTTCTGGCCTCCAGCTCCTTTTCCATGAGTTCTTTTGGAGAGGGAAATTCACTGAGCTTGACCTTGGACATGTTGTCGTTCTGACCAACTGTACTGATCACTTCTGACTCCTTCTCATGACTGTCCTCAGTCTCAACATGGATCCAAGGGATTTTCCTAACGACAAGGAGATGGCAGAGCAACTGTGTAAGGTTTTCACCAAAAACAAAGATAAATAGTTTCTGATTAACTCATCTAAGGGATAATACACCTTTTGAATTTGTAGATGAAGAAGGCTGCAACACCTACAAATACCACAGTTAGCAGCATCAGCATGGCTGACCCACTGTGGATGGAGTTTGAATCCACAAGTGGCGCTGAAAGACAAACATCATCAAATGAGCATTACATTTCGACTAAGACAAATGCATTAAACCCTCGCTCTTTTTTTTTCTTAAATTATGTATTATTTCAAGGAGATTGCTTTCATTACTCCATGTCATGTAACAACTGCAGGCCCAGTTGGAAGAGCTGCTCTCTGCATGTTATCCCCTCAGGGTATTAAAAGGAAGCTTTAGGAGGTCTACTGCCTCTCCCTAGGGTCCATCATGCAGGTAGCTTATGCATAGTCATGGTTTTCTAAATGCTGAGATGCAATATTCAAAGTATTCCTCCTCCCCGCCCATCTTTCTCTCCTTCAGAAAGAAGCCTATGAAGTCTATGACCTTTCTGGATCGTTTTAAAGGCAACCCAGACCTTTGTATGCAGACACAAATGAAGACAGATCCGTTGGTGGATGAAAAGGGTAAAGGCACGCAGGGTTGATCGACACATTTTTGCGATATGCTAATGACCCGGTGACCCTGACGATTTCCTCAGTGCATACCAAATGCCTTCTTTGTCAATCATGTCATTGATTGGCTGATTTCAAAGAGAACAACTGTCTCACAGTCTCGGGTGCAAAACTGATGCACTGTGAAATATATTTAAATCTTGTAAGATACCGTATCATATAAATCTCACTCTGGGAATACTGTTGTCTTTGTCTGTTTTTTGGGTACAACTCAATGTCAAATCATCCCAAGAAAGAAATGTGGTTTATCTTTTGCACATCAGCAGGCAGAACAAATGCACTGTGGATGTAGACATCCTGTACTAAACTGGAATAAGTTAAGACTAAGATCTGTTTAAACACTCTGTTATTATGTGCCTGCAAAAGGTTTTCAAATGTTACATTGGTCCAAGTGTGCATAAATAACAAACACGACATACTTACCCAAGGTTTGCTGAGTCATGTACACAATAATGCGAATATCAGCTTTCAGCTCAAACTGGATCAGGCCTTGGTTCAGGGCAGTGACAAAAATATCTGACATCTGTTTTAGGTAACAAAAACACAAAAAACAGAGAGTGATGTATTGTACTACAATAAATAAATAAAAAATCTCACTGTATGGTTAAATATCATAGTGCCCTAATAATATCATGAACTGGCCATTTATAACTTGCTTAACACTTGCTTTCTTCTTTCGATAAATGTTTCTTTCAATGAGAAGAACTACTCTCATGTCTGTACATCAAGTATGGAGCTTGAGCCGGGAGGCGATTAGCTTAGGTTAGCATAATGACTAGCACAGGGGGAAACAATTAGCCTTGCTCTCTCCATCATTCAAAATTTGGCATCACAAGTTACAGCATTTAACCCCACTTATCAGTTTTACATTTGTATTGCATACGAAATAAACAATTTATAATATGTTGATTATTTAGCTTTAGTGAGTTTTAGATCTAAGTCAACTAACTCTCAACAAAAAAACAAATAAAGACATGTAGAACTATTCCTCGTCATTTAGTTTGTTGGCTCCTTACATAGCAGCTAGTATGAAAAAGTACATTAAAACCAGAGCCAAAATCAATTAGTCTAATTATTTACCGGTGGACGTGATTTGGCAACAGCCTCTGAATGCTTTTTTACACCTAATAAGATCGTATAATTTTATGAGTCATGTGAGTAGAAGTACAGCTATTCTTGGTAAAGATTCATATGATAAGTGACCCAGTATTGTTTTAGATATCATGTTTCTTACTGTCTCCAGAGCCTCCTCACTCCTTCTCTTGTGCTCATTTGATATATGCTCATCAGGTAGGATAAAGAGCTCTGCTGTCGTTGGAAGTCCAGGGTACAAAGACACAAGCAGCTGATCGTCCGATACCCCAGACACCTGCGGCGACAGGACAACACCACAGACAGGTATAACTCCACTGTGGAGGCTAAAGTTTGGACTGTTACATCTAAAGTCAGAATCTCCAAACGGACACTGTCCCACGGCAAACATTTTGACAGCTTCACTTCAAACTCACACTAGACAGCCATGTCTGGTTACTGTCATAGGTAAACTAAAAAAAGACCAACTTTCTCACACTGGCCATAAAACAGGACCACTGTATCAGTACCGCACACAGGTATAAAATAGTAATGACCCTGAAAGCCACTTGTGGCCAATGTTCTCAGAGCTATGGGGACGTGATGTACCTGTGACAGAGCTGTCTGCACCACACGCCCTATGTCCTCTCTCCACTCGGGTATGTCAGGGTTGTGCTCATCAAGAGCTGGTGAGAACGACAAAAGCAGCGACCTGAAGAACTCTGGAAAAAAAGGTGTCATGATGTTAGAATATGAACACTACCTCTGGTTTCTTTTTGATTAATCTGACGTGCAGTTTTGTCTTTTTTCATTTGGCAACATACGTCTTGAAGTTAATTGCACCTCAAGATTGGGTGTTCATCTACAGTGACATTTTATTCATTAGATAAGTCCACATTGACTCCGATTGCAGAGTGGACCGAGGGGCATCATATTTTCCCCGAGCTAGGGGATTGCATATTCATGTAACATGCATCGCACCAATTAAAGTGCTTTGAAGACTGTCTCCACCACTCACCTTTAACAGTTATAACTTTTGAATCCTGCATTATGGTGTTCCCAGAAGCAACCTGGACCGTGACCTTGTTTTTTCCCTCTGTCTGAAACGTGTATGAGATGCTTCCCTCCAAGGTTATAATGGGCTGGATTTCAAAAGGAAAAACAGAGAATTTCACAGAAAAACCACCATCCTCTCAGCCGAATATAGAATACTCCATACATGCAGCCCTTGACATACTGTATAATGAGGAGGTGCTGCAGTAAACACAATCAGCATGATAAACAAATATGACCAGCCATCCTAGCTGGATTCTCCAGAAAGACAAAGGGCAGTCACATGCAGTCCTTTTTAACATGATTTGTGCAAAACCTTGGTAGATTTATACTTTGTAAACTACAACACCAGGACATCAAGAAAAGAGTGGGAGAATGGAAAAGACTGCAGTAAACAAGACAAAAAAAATGTGTGTGGGGAAAATAAGTGGGAGTGGGAGGAGAATCTTCTCACCTCTGAGCTGTTGTCAAGCCACCAGAAGAAGGTCAACGTTCTGGTGTGACTAGGCCAAACCACCGCAGTCAGATTAGCCTCCTTCCCCCTGATGGCTACAATAGGAGCGGAGAGATATACACGCTCCACTGGACCTGAGGTAGCAACACATTCACCAGCACACGTGTGCATACAAATAAATGCACCCACACACAAAACACACAAATATTCAGCAAACAGGGTATTATTGTGATTACAGATGATGTACATTTAGCTCCAGGTGTGTGTTCTTCAATTTTAAAATGTATTAAAGTAATACAACCATGACTGAAATAAAATTCAGCAGAGTGGGAATGTGACTATCCATGAAAGAGAGGAGGTTCATGCTATATGCGCCGCCGGAGGACTGAGTAATGATGTTTCTTATTCACATACTGGTGATGTGTAAAAACAGTGTGCTGCTGTCAGATCCATGGCTGTTTTCAGCAGAAGCTGTCACTCTATAAATCCCGGTTGCTCGGTAGATGTGCTTGATGCCATCATCAGTCCTGCTCAGGTTAGAGTATGTGATCTTGATGCCATCCCCGAAGTCTAGCTGGATGCTGGTCCTGAGCGAGTCTCCCTGTGGACAGACGGTAAGACGTGGCCTCTGTCACCATGGCTTAGGTCAGGATGTTTCAATTAGACCACACACACACACACACACACACACACACACACACACACACACAGTGAAGTAAGCACAGTCCACTTCTAAAGTGCTTGGGCTGAGATGTCCTATAAGCTGTGTCACAAATACTTTGTAGGTGAACATGAATGGAAGGAGACAGAAATTCAACTGAAAAAATAAGAGAAAAGTAAAAATAGAGCTAAAGAAGCAAAAGAGGTAATGAAACCATCCTAAAGTGAGAAGGATCAGTTTTTATTCGCGTGCCACCTTGCCAACTGATAAAATCATCCAAAACAAACAAATATATTTTGATTATTAAAGAGTTTTTCATCCAAATTAAAAAAAAGAAACAAAAACATATCTTCTCACTAACCCATAGTGGCATCTAGTCAGGCAGATAGCTTTGGTTTTATTTTCCCACACTTTGAGATATCTGTTCAGGGAGATTTCTGCTGCCACTATAATGTAGTATGTCAATAAGGCTTAATTTGTGGTGCTCTGCTAACAATATGTCCTGCTAAACACCCAGTCAATAGTTTTACAGAGAATTTTTTCAGTGGTTCCAATGGAAACTGTTCACCGCAAGATCTGAGAATCATCAAGAGTAATGATACTGTTTGAGTTTATAAATTCACCACAAACAAACAAAATTCCATTCATTATTGGGCTAGAGGCAGAAATCTCATAAATATCTAGAACTGTGAGCAGTTGTAAGCGGGATCCAAGCCTCTCAACGCCAGCTGCTGCCCTCTGATCTCTGTGTAATTTCAAAATCCTATGTATTCAAATAACGTTTTCCAGCACTATTCAGTTTGCAATAACAGCGCCACCTATTGTCCGAATTACATCAAATGTGGCATATGGTGACAGCCGTGACCCTTTCAAATGATACGGTATTTCAGCTTCGATTATAGCACCATCTTTAGGCCAAATTGCACCACATTTTGCAGGTGTCATCAGGGGTGCATGGGGTACAAATGAGCCAAATTTGGTATCAATTGGAATTGTGGTTATGAAATGAATATAATATGGGCATATTAGAGTCAATTTTGGTGCCTGGAGTCAGGAGACCATCCTGAAAAATTCCGCTCAAGTTTCATGTCAATGTGACTTGTGGTTATAGAGGAACAAATATTTTCTGTTAAATAATGTCACATAGTGGCTAATTGCACCAAATTTTACACAGCCACTCAGCAAGTCATGCCACATTAGGGCAGCAAGTTTGGTGTTGATCAGCCATTCCAAACCTAAAATATGACATGACTTCCTGTTTTTAGCATTTTTCGCAAAGATTTGTTAGCTTGTAATTGGGACATTTTTTCATTTATCAAAATTTCCTCTACAAACTTTTACCAGCTTGGTCCAAAGATGGTCCGTGCCAAGTTGCCGATCAGATTTACCACTTTGGAGGAATTAATTAAAATAGTTTTTTATAGACGGAAATGGGTGCGGCCTATACCACGAGATTCAGCTCGATCCCCCAACGCGTGGATATAAGGTTTTTGATATGCGCCGTTGTATGCAGGAGTTCCAAGCCCAAATGCGTTGAACTTGCTTATAGCGCCCCCTAGAGGTTGAAGTGTGCAATATTTGGGGCCTGAGGTCACTGGGGTGACCTGTACCTATCCTATGAGTTTCGCGTCTGTAGCACTTACCATCTAGGCCGCAGTATCACTTTTCTTTATGGAAGAATAACAATAATAAAAACGAATACTATTACAATAGGGTTCCCAGCCCTGCTGGTCCTGGGAACCCTATTGCCGTGAGTTTTGGATTTGAGTCTTTTTCTGAAATAGCTCAACACATATTGGCCCCTTTGGTGATCTCCTGACTGTTCCTGCAGGTTAGGATTTGAGCTTTTGTGTGGAATAGCTCGACACATATTGGATGGATTGCCATGAAATTTGATTCTGACAGTCAATGTGTTCAAGGTAGGATTCCTAATGACTTTAAATTTTAAAATTTTCCTGTGAAATATTGCCACATCTGCTTGGTAAATTTGAAAAGAATTTGGCGCTGACATTCATTGTTCCTGACGTTGGCGATTCCCCAACTTTTCCTTTAGTAGCAACCAGCAGGTTGTATTAACATTAGCATGTTAGCGTGTTGGCGTTACCATATAGCTCACAGAGCCTACACCCATGCTAGTCTTGCTCTCATTTTTGTTTAACCGACCCTCTAAAACAATTACTAATGCTACAGCTACTGCTAACATTTCAGTAACTTTTTGGTGAAATGACTCACATCGTCCAGGTAAACCATGAAAGTGACGTTGCTTCCAACAGTGGCACTGAACTCTCCTTGACTGATGGACAGCCGGAGGCCTCGGGGTGGGCTGGGATGGCACGCCTGCCTCTTGGGCGAGTACACGTTCTTCCCTCCTTCTTTACAGTTATTGGATAAAACCTTCCGATACCTTTGAAGCACATAGTAAAACAAGTCTTGTCTCATAATGTCTTATTACATATTAAAAGAATACAGCATGATATTTATGATTTATACTTATTTTCATCATTTACAACTTTAAATTAATCTATGCACTTCAGTGTTTTGTACAGAAAATGAAGACGATCAACCATACTGCAACTTTGGAATGCTACTGTCGATTAAACTTCAAAAACAGAAAGCAAAAGGTTTAATACGTCTTTTTAGGGGGTTTTAAAATATGTTTCTGGACCATCCATCCAGAATATATTTTACAAAATTCCAGTTCTGAGCAGCTCCTCATTTTCATTTCTCACTTCTTAAGTTGTGGGGCAAAAGTGTCCATCATCAGCAAACAGATATAGTATGCATGCTGGCCTCCTTAAGTATACTTCATTTTGTCACTTTATGAGTGTGAACACGCTGCATACTACAAATCTGCTTAGCATTATTATACATTATGGAACTGGGACACAGTCTAGGTTACTTACCATTGAGGAAATTAAGCATTATTTTCTGTTGTTTCTGTATGCTAGACAACATGACAAACAAGCTGGAATGGAATAATATTGTTTTGTGAGGACTGAACATTAGGGGCCACTTACCCTGTGCTGTTAAGGAAGCTTTGGCTGATGCTGCAGCTTTTAGTCGCACCAGTTGGATTAAACCAAAAAGCTGGGGAGCACTTCCCATCTGCCTGGCGTTCCCACCCATAATCACTGCCCAAAAAAACACGACACTTCATAAAATGATAAATTCTGCTAATCAAATAATCTAGCTTCTACAAGCTTTTGTAGTTGGGCAAGTGCTTTGCTGTTGGAGCTTCGTGGCATATTTTAAGACCATAACTAGAGACATGATTGTCAGACAAGCAGGATCAAACAGAATTTCAGACGGATGGATAAAAGATATTCAAAATTCATTTAGCGATTCATTATTAATTGAATTCTAATAAGTCATTCGACATTATGCAAATTACAGTAGCACGATGAAAAGTTCTTAACTCCCATCTACAATTCCAAAACTATAATTAGATTTGATGGATACAGTCACATTGGTTATCCAGTAAATATGCAATGTAAGATGGATATTAAGGCATATGAATTTCTGCAATCTGATACTTGTGTTTTTGATTACAAATGTCTACAAGCAGCCGTAATTAAGTGCAATTAAATTAGATGGGGAGAGGGCCTGTTTGGTAAACATGCTGAGAAAGAAATTAAGGATCAGTACAGTACAGTACAGTTCAGTCCCAAATGGGATAGCTGAGATGAGTCATTACCATTCAAAATCATAGGCTGTGCAGAGGCAGGGCTCCGAGGAATAGATCCTTGAATAGTCCTGGGCCAGCATGCAGCGGTTTCCGGGCCTGCGCTTCATATAGATCTGCTTCTCACCCATCACACACAGCTCTCCCTACCAAACAATAAAAAGATGATCTCGTTTTTTACAAGATTGAAAGAAACTCTGAAAAGAAAAAGAGACAGACAGAAAGAAATACTTTTGTTCATGCATTATACGAGTGTACTGTGTCCACAGTGACACTGGTGAAACACGCATCAAACTTGAAACTGACAATAAATCAATAACGTTTAATATTCCTCTTACCTTGTAGTGCAGGTGCCATGTCTGATAATCGCCATCCATGCATCTCCTGCTAAAGAGACCCTTGTAGTCGATCTTGATCAGCTGCCACTCTGACCGATGGCTGAAGTGTCCAAAGAAACTGTAAGATGATTTACCAAAAAGCTCATTTCAGATGAGACTATCTTGATATACAGATATAAAGGTTACTGACATGATGGTGGAACAACAGCACCTACAAATGTGTCATATGTCCTTTATGCTGATAAACAAGATAACATTCCCTATATTTGATTGGGGAAAATCAGGTTTACATCCACAGAAGAGCTAATTCTTCAAGCCTGATATTTGTTTTATTCATGGTGGACTGTACTTGTTTGTCTCTGCTTACGTGATAATGTGATTGTCAGATTCTGGCTCCATTAAAACTCCATCCACATACAGCGGTGCCAAGGAGAAGCTGTGACGGTCCCATTTCTTTCCTTCGTCTAGACTGATCCTGCATAAAACAATGAACAAACAACAGCTGTCAATGCATGAACATCTGTCTGTCTGTGTGTCCAACCACATTTGTCTGTCTGTAGTGGTTAAATATATTGTTTTCTCTATGCGTATGGCATTAAACATCCCAAGTAGAGGTTAAACAGCGGAAAGCAAGGCACAAAGAAATATGATAAAAGATTTCAGGCTTTTGGCACAGTTGAGAAATGAAGAACCTTGAATTCTCTTCAGTGTGAAAAATTATCTCGTCACCAAGGTGAACAATGGAACAAATGTTCCTCGTAGCAGGTAAATCTTTGAAGGTGACAAAACAACAGTAAAGAGAGATATGTCTCAGGTTGTAACATTTGAAATAGATTTGGGGGGTTCAAATCACCTTTCTCAGAGCTTAAATCACCTTTGACAGGACTGGAGCAGGGACATCAAAGTACATATCAAAGTAGAGAGTGTTACAAAGCTACCACAACATAGGGGACTTATGAGGGTGTCCTCAGTCTCATTTCCATCCTGCTCTACTTTTCATTTGCATAAAAGCACTCAAACCATCATATCCAACCACAAGTACAAAGCTTTAATAGACTCTCTTCTGCTGGAAATGAGTCTGACAGTTCTGAAGCTGTAGTGCCGATACAATCAGCATTTCACATCATTAAATGTAATCATTTGCTGCATCAAACCCAGAAAAAAAATTAAATTATACCCAGGTAATGTCCCACTGCAACACCTACAGTCCCTACCTCCAGCAATTATGAGATCAGCTATTGTTTAACAGTAACTACACCCACCATAAGTGTCGAATAGGCGTTGCTGCATGCAAGACTGCCAGCATAGCCCCTCCGTTGTCAAGAAACCAAACGTTGTGCTCTTCATCGAAAATCTATAATGAAGAAACACATTTGCTCCACTCATGACAGAAACACTTTCAATATGAATGCATATTGTTTAAGGTAAACACGTTCAGTGTCTCACCTGTCTCCAACTATTTCCTGCATCAGATGTAATAAACATCCCAAGGTTGGTGGAGGACAGCTCTGTTCCGATATTCCCTGAGTACAGAAACATGAATAATTTCACTCACTGTGTATTTACATAGCAAAGACTCCATAACACACCTATATGCACGATCGCCTGATAAAGATATCGTTAGTTATATTGCAAATCTGTGCATGTCTTCAATTTCCACCGGGGGACATGTTTATGACTTACTGCAACCTAATCATCTCCCCCAAAATATGAGATTCAGGAGTTGAAGTCTCAGTATCTGATTTCAATGACAGAAAGAGGGCACTGTGTGATTTAGTTTTTTGTGTTTTTGTGGTTGCACTGGTACAATGCATTTATCTGAGAGAGTAGGGATACTTATGGTGACGAAAAATTAGCCAAGTCTCACCACTTCGGTCAGGTCTAAACTGATCAATTTAATCCATAAATTAAATGCGCGTCGTTTATGCAGCTGTACCTGTAGCCACAATGATTCCTGGAACAGACTTTTTGCTGGTGATGGGTCCGGACGTGTAGGGATTCTCCGACATCTCCAGATGAAGATGCAGCGAACAAAATGGCTGTCAACAAAATGGATTCCAATACAGCACAGGTTGAGACAATATGTATCAGGCAGATCTTAACAGAAGCAATTATAATTAGCTTTGCTTTCAAACTATTCTTCCCATTGAGAGAAAAGTGCTAACATTTTCAGAGAAAATCTATAAAACAAAGATACTTTGTTCCTCTCATCTCCTCTACCAGAAAAAAAAGGCAGAAAATGGCTGAGAGGACACAGAGGGCATGTGAATTGTTTCATTCTAAAGCAAACAAGGCATGTAATTAAAATTCGCCAAGATGCACTGATAAAACTGGCAAAATTGATTCAAATCATTTTCACTCATCTCACAGACTAAAGCACACTCAAAAACATCAATAAGGCTTTTCAAACAGCAGAGGTTGGACAGAGGTCAGAAAGCAGGCAAGAGCATAATGGTCATCTGAATGACAGAGAAAAAGTGTAACTTGCTATTAACCAAACAATATACATTATTTCTGTCTCCATAGAACACACTAACTGAATTAGGTGAATCTCATACCTGCTGAATACCAACACGGCCACATAATGTAATTCAGTGTAATCTAACAGTCATTAGTCCAGTGTGACTACAGGTAGTAAATTGAAATCACAGGGGTTAATGGAAAGTCTGGACCCCTGAAACTAAACGCGATGACACTTTGTGCCTCCCACCGATAATAAGAATATTCCAGCCAGGCATCTCCTCAGCCAATTAGGAGGCTAAAGACACAAGCTGATGCTGAAGCTGGCACCTAGCCTTGTGCAAATATGGCTCTGAATCAAAGAAGACCCACAGCACAGCTGATGAGGTTGAAACATTTGATGAATGACATACATCATAAGCTTCATTTCGCATGAATACAAGCATTCATCCACTGCTGCCCAAAGGATCAAGCTCACCAGAATGCAATGAAGGTTATTTCCCGCCACTGATGTGGCGGGAGCTGGCAGCAGTGCCCATGTTTGTCCCTTGTTGTATGTGATAAAAGTCTTGATGTGACTGTCCAGAAGTTTGTTGGCGAGATAAATGCCATTTATCCCCTCAACCTATGAAGGAAAACAGCAAAAATGCATTTATTGTCTAAGGTACTTTCAAGAAGTAACAATCATATTCATGACACTTTAGAGCTAAAATAATTAACTGATTAGTTAGTTGAACGGAAAATGAATCATTAGAAAGTGATTTATTGTTTGAGCAGTGGCATAGCATTCAGTCCACTCAGTTCAGTTACAGGTTATTTAAGTAAAAGTACTTACTTTTATCAGCAAAGTGTACTCCAGTATCAAAATTAAAAGAATTCATTACGAAAAGGCCTTCTCAGTGTTATTATTGTTTTTATGTTAGTTCACTATTACCAAATTTTATCTGCCTACTTCTTTAATGGTTATAAAGGGTGTTGCCTAAAGGGAAGCAATGTTTTCACGCAACCCCCCCAACCTGGCCATGCATGTACAAAGCTATTCCAGTGTTTGGCTTGGTACTTCATGGTGAATCATGGTGATTCGGCACACGGCATTTTTTTGATCTTTAAGCGAGTGAAGTTTATGATATTGCACCGCCACACTTCAATGGTGATGACAGAATAGCATGCATCTTTATTAAACTGAATTAGTGATGAATCACTCTCACGCATCAATCATAGATCAATAATAGCCTAATTTTATGCATGATCCATAATGATGAAGATACAGAAAATAGAAATGCATGGCTACATTTGTATATTGACAATATTTTAGAGACCCCATAAAATGTCAGAAATCAGGATTTAGGAGAGCTCCAACTATAACATCTGCACAGCCCCCTGGCTCCACTGTGGTTTGCACCCCGCTAGTGGGTTGTTTAATGTGTAACAATGCGCCATCTTTTAAAGACTTATAAGCATAAAATCTTAATCTGAAAAGTAACTAACTATAACTGTGAAATGCATGTAGAAGGGTAAAAGGGGCCCTATTTACCCTTCCTTTTACCTCTCAAATGTAGTAAAGTATAAAGTAGCAATAAATGGAAATTCTCAAGTAAAGTACCTCAAAATTATACTTTAGCACTGAATATGTCACCTTAGGCTCTGAAAAATGTTATAGGCCTTTCTGACAGCTCCTACTATGTGAAATAACTGGAAGGGGAATTAGCGGTACAGTGACAGCCCATGAACGAGACTAACTACGCACCTTATAAAAGTCAACCAGTAAGTTACCGGCGGGTCCTCTGCTGGTTCTCAGATCCTCTAATGAAAGAGTAAAGTAGACCCCGGGGGAGTCTGAGATATACAGGCTGTAAGTGTTGTTCTGATTCCACTCCTGGACTGCAGCAAATACCTGCTTCTCATCTGTACTGATAATGTGCATGTCCTGTAGGAAGGGGTGGGTGAGAGAAAGAGAGACAGGTGGAGCAAAGCGCAAGTGAGAAAACCCCCCAAAAAAGTCTTAGAGATGAAAAAGACTAAGAGAGGCTGTGTACTGCTAAGGAGCCTTTTAATACATTTCTTCATAACACTGTTGTGCGACTTGTATTCTACAAAAAAAGAAACAAAAGCGATTCCAAGCAGAAAAAAACAAAACATGTTTATTTATGATCATACATATGAACCATTATTATTTGACAGTTATCTGGTGTCTTTGATGCTTACCTTTGGTAGGCAATACTTAGGTAGTTTCATTCGCTTGAAGGATTCTCTCATGTAGGAGACAAAGTAGCTGGCTCGTCCTGACTTGGTTACCTTTGCAATGATGTCAAAGAGGCTTTGTCATTCTTTAAATAGACCACATATACATATATGTCAGTGTCACTTCACCTAACACCTTGTTTTTCTCTATTTTAGTGACACTTTTGACTTTTTCCCTACATAGAGGACAATGTAGACTGTCCGGAAAATGAAAAAAAAAATGGGATGGGGAGTTTTTTTAAGACGTGAGAGAATTTGACAACATTCAAAATGTGAATGAAATGAGGACACAAAGCTAAAACGTCTCCTGAAGGAGGTATATTAATTCACAATGCATGACTGACTTGATAAAATGCTTACAGTTTTGCTCTGCTTTCCGCAGTGTCGAAAGCAGACTAAAAATTACAAGCACAACAGAAATTATAATCATTATCTCAATTAGTCTAAAGCGAAGAGGCACTGAAAATTGTGTTGGCTTTATCTACAGTGTGTCTTGAAGATCTTAATGCACTACCACTTTCGCACTTACAGGCAGGGCAACACTACTTGATTGCTTATTTTCTAATCAACTAGAAGGATGGTGTTTGTCCCCCAACACACTACATTAGGGCTCTAATGGAATAATCTATCGAAAATCAATGAGCTGCATTTTCCCAGGCCACATTTTTGAGGATGTTGCACTTGGCTGTTCCTTCTCTCCCAAGAGACTTTGGAGGTGTTGAAGACTGCTTATTTCGTTGTAACCCAATCGATAACCTCATTACTCTTTGTCAAGTTAAATCCAACTGCCCCGAGCAATGAAAGTCACAAGAAAGTCATCTGTGCCACCACAGCTCGGCATAGACACTGTCTGTGTCCAGTTATTTTCACCAGCATCTTCCTCATGTCTGCCTCCGCCTTGACGGTCAATCTCATCTCAGCTAAATGCAATTTGGGAATTTTATTGAATCACCATTTCTGAATCACGCTCTGATGTATTTTTTTCCCCCCCATACATTTTTATTCTTACATCGCAGCCATTCCAATCGAGTCTGTGGATTAAGTGTGTTGAAAATGAAACTGGGTCACCGCTGAAGTATTCCTGCTGCAACATCATCTCATCATATCAAAAGATTAAATCTGTGGATAAATAAATTAAAAAACGAACAGCTAATATTTAGGGGCATTTATTCAAAATGAAAGAGCACAGGATGATTTACTACAAACACTGAGCCCTAGAAAACGGCTATGTGATTTTTATTTTCCTGAAACTTAGTTGGAGTCTAACAAGGATGGCCAAATGCATCAAGGCTGACCAGCAGGGAGAAAATTACTTAGCTGTGGATGGAAATCAATGACAGTGGAGGGCATTTGAAAATTAAATTTCTAATAATGGCCCTGACTACTGCTGTCTAATTGGAGTCAAACTCAGAATGAATCGTAACAAGGACACCAACCTGTCTATTCACAGTTCCTTTGCTATGTGCTCTCAGCTAGCAAACACATATTTCAGGCATGGAGCATGTCTGTGTGGAAACTCAAAAACTGAGCGTGCCTTGACATGAACGAGACAAAACATAATCAAAACACACATTGGGCCAGTGGGGAACAGGTGTGTTGGGGAAAGCCATTATGTGGGTTTTGATGGAAAAGCATGAATTGAATGCACTAGAGACCAAAATAAAATGATAAAAAAAAACAACAAGAAAATCAAAGTTCACAGAGACAGAAGCCTTTGTGTGAAAAAGACAACTGGTTTAGTTTAATCAAGAAAAAGTAACCTGTGTGAAAACGTATTCATCTTGCACAACCAGTGAGTTGGTGTCTACATGTCCAGGAAAGAGGTACTGTCTGTTGCCATCTGTGCATCGCTGGGCTCTGCACTTCACATACTGGGCGCCTGGAAAGAGGCGAAAGGAAATCAATAAGAAGTAAATTACAACCATTTACCATTGAACAGTATTTTGTATGCACTCGAGCTGCAATATGCATATGTTAAATGTTAAATAATTATGTAAGTTCACAGTTCTGAAACAACTTTAGGCTTGGATAGAGGTATATAATCCAATATAACGAGTAGAGGCTCTTGCGGTGTGTCACACTACAAAAAAAGTTCAGGATGTTATTGTGTAAGACAAGAGAGAGAAGAGTTGATGCTAATTCAGACATATATATTTTCTCACTACAGGATGCATATGACTATATTTCCCAATGCAGGAAACATCTATAATTGGTTTGACAGAATATATGATGCTGTTTAGATGTGGGGAGGGAGTTGAGGTTTGTCTATGAGACACAGGGGATAGATTAAGAGGAAGAAACATCCATCAACACAATAAAACTCTCCGTTTGTCAGGAGACACCTATTCTGCTTTACTTGACTTCAGGGACCAATCTGAACAGCAGAACGGGTCTCATCTTCCCTGTGACCTCGCTCTAAATGAGAGGCAAGGGGTCCTTAGGGTCCTGCTATTGCGGCGGACTGGAGTGCAGCACTCACGGCCTTTTGCGATGCGCGTCTCGATGTGGACCACATCTGATTCTCTGTCCAGCCCCATTACCGCCCTTGAAAGAGCATGTGGAGGAGAAGATAGAAAGGAGCAGAAAGAAGTAGAGGAAGATGGGGAAGAAAAGGTAAATGAGAAAGAGATAAGAGAGGGGGGCGCCAGGTTGTGTATCACAGCTGTAGATGGACATCCCTATTGTGTGAAAGCAAGATGTTTTTATCTCCGGTAAATCAGTCAGTGTAGAATCTGCGCCACCAGCAGCAATTAATCTCAATTCACCAAAGAACCAGCAGTGGAAACAACAAGGAGGAGGGATAACAAAACATCAGCTATTCCCATAAATATCTACCAAAGCAAATGTCTGTAGTTATGAAATTGTGTGTGGTTGTAAAACCGTTTTGAATAATACAATTTGATACGCGTGAAGGAATGGTTTTCAAGAGCACAAATAATGCCCATTTCGGGTGCCGCTTTACCCGCTGTGCCGTTCTTATTCATCAAATTCCTCGCTGTTCATGCATGTGGAGAGGATGTCCTCCAACCAATGCCCTTTCTTTCCCGGCTACAAAACACACTTCTGTTTGACACATGCCATGACAAACAGGGATAAACGGGCTCACATCAATATTCACTACCTTGTGCCCGAGCAGTCGAGATTACAAAATTACAGCGACAACAAAAACAGCATGTCGTGTTTGTGCTATGGAAAAGAAGAACAATATTCCTTCAGGTCTACGTGACATGGATATAATCAGGTTTGTGCTTGACTGCCATTGGGAGAGGCGGGGCTGTGACAAGAGGTCACTGTATCCTTCTGACAGCATAGGGTCATGAACACTATCATTATGCAAATTACAATCAATCACTCTACAAAACAGTTCAAAAATAGGATCCACATAATCATACCAGTAGAATCGGCCTGGCATCACGTTGTCGTGAACAAGCTGCCATTTCCTCCCAAAGTCCATTGAACTGTACAGCTGCAAGATAAAATTAGGCTGATCTTCATCACACTTAAAAGTTTTAGGAGGAAGATCTTGGTAATGAGCGGCACAGCTATCATCACATCCACAGTAGAATCACATTAAAACAACATTTTAAAAACAGGTTATGGGTTCAGCATCATATATTATATTGTTTCCACTTAAAGGTTCATTGCGGATTCACTCAGAAGCTACCTTGCTGTCATGACTGTAAGCCAGTATCCAGTCCTCCTGTGCAGGATGGAAGAGCAGGCTCAGGATATTGAAGTTAATGAGATGCTTCTCAAAGCTTGCCCCTTCATCTGAACTGATGAGAACAGCGCTCTCTACCTCTGGGTCACTAAGCATCATTATCTAAAGTACAGAGGGCCAGACGAGGGATAAGGCATGAGAGGAGGGAGAGAGATAGAGATACCGACATTTGGCAGCAATTTAAAAAAAAAAACTGTAATTTGATGTCAGGACCGTAGCTTGTAAGAGATCAGACAGAGAGATAAAAGCAAAGAGAAATGCTGACCTTCTGTTTGTTGGTAGGGCAGACGTACAGGTAACTTAAAACGGTCCTTGAACCCACTTTGTCATTGAGTTTGGTGTAGGTGCTTCCATAATCAGTGGATCTGGACACAAACAAAAAAAACATGTTGCATGTTTGATGAAGAAAATCCATTAGAGACCTGCCAGAGACAGATTTTAAAGTACCAGCGATCTGGGATGTTTTAGCCCATTAACTGCAAATCAGTTATTCTCTACGTGACTGCATCTCTAAAGCGCACCATGAGTTTTGAGATTTTTTTTTCTTTTTATTACCATTCACGCAGCTTTTGCTTTACAGAAGGAAAATCAACTTGCAGAGAGATACTAGCTTCATGCTAATGTGTTATTTTTATTTTTGCTCTTGTAAAGCATTTTGTTGCAGTCCTGCATGAAATATGCTAGACAGGAAAAAGTGGGCTGTCATTACCCCACCAGTCATTTACTGTAGATGCTCAAATAAAAAAAAGGGGATATTTGAAAAAATTACTCAAAAAAAAAATCACACTCACTTATGGAAAAGCCTACTCTTTATTCTGCCAACATGCTTCAGCACACGGTGGAAGCTGACTTAAAAGCAGACATTTCAAGTCAATTCCCCCTGGGGGCAATAAAGGTTTCATTCATTCATTCATTCAAGCAGTCTGTGTTTTTTACACAGAAATGTGCTATACAAACAGACAGATTAAATAAATCACTGTTAAAAGGGACCCTGTGGAGTTTTTGACCACTTGTGAGACATTTTTTGATGCATGGGTTTTGTACTCTACTAGTATTGTTGACAACTATATTAAATAGAAAGTAGCTAAAGCCTGCTCAAAAAGTCATTGGATGTTGCATGCTATTTGCATATCTGTGATATCATTAGGTAAGTGTAAAAACTTAACTAACTCTAACCAGCTTTAATGTTAGCTATTCCGCATAATTTCAATATTCATCTAAATCCACCTCTAATATCAAAAGATTTTTTATGTAGTATGTTGTATAGACTGGAGAACACACAGGAATAAACTCACTTATTGAGAAAAGAATTACACTTACATACTTATTAAATCATTTATAACAAAAACAACAACGAAGGAGTTCCCGGCTAAACAAGTGATCAGGGATTGGCCATTACACGCATTTTTTTAGCTAATTCACATACAAGAAATGTTGTCGACTCTCTTATGTTAGCAGTTATGGTCTTTCTTAAAAGTTGCTAGGAGTAGGACAATGTGAAGCGGTGAAGGTGAAGCAACAGTCAAAGCAAATAAATACATTTAACTGAAAGATTGTCTGTCAAATGAAAGAGAGGCGACAGTATCGGTCATCCCTCAGTTTATTTCACAGATCAACAATTGGTGGCAATAAGCCAGCAGGAAATGTAGCGATGAACCAGCAAAAGACAGGAAGTAAAAGACTGCTGACCAATGTAAATACAGATTATGGATTAATATTATGGACATATTAAATGGTTTTGCAAATATTTCATGAGGAAGGAAATTCATTCAGCAGGTTTGTTAGGCCTCAAGGATACACACAAACAACTGTGTTTACAAGAAAACACCACAGGGTACCTTTAACGTATTGTAACATTTTCAAAAGTATGTTGTCACTGTGTGGTAATGGTTTAGTACACATTTAGTACACATAATCCAAAAACTCCTGTTTACTACTGCATTAATGGAAGCAATCACATTTTGACAACCCACAAGAAAATATGGAAAGCAGAAGAAGCATAATGCAAGCTTTCTACATTAAAGAGGTTGACATATTCATTAGGCATTTCCTACTCCAAGCTACAATACCATTCAGCAATAATGTAGCGGTGACAAACACATTATGTAGCCTAAACATTCACTTCACACGTCAAGTAAGTCTCAAGGCTTTACAAGCTGATTTTCATGCTACACTGACATGTAATGAAACAAGCAGCTGCCTGCAAGGTAGAAAATCAATTTATGAACTTCAGGTATACTTTGGAAAATGGTCAGGAGGAATGTACACACAGTAAATACAGGACTGAAACATCAAACACAAGCATACAGTAGTTCTTGAATATAACAACATTGTGCTGAACACATTTTAAGCGACAGTATGGCATTACTCTCCTTTCATGTCAGTAGACGTTTGTACATAGAAGATAGTGAGGAAGGGATTTAAAGACATCCTTAAAACGGTGTAAACACAGGAGAGGTGAAATCCCCTTTCATACAGAAATATATCTTAAATTAGAGGTAGAATGGCCTTTTGTTCTCTGTTTTCATCTTATTTATTCAGTTTCATCCTCTTGTATTCCGTTTTCTTAGCTTAAGTGTGGTATTGTGTTGCTATAGAACAACAAATTAGCAGCACAAATGTGACAAATATAGGTTTACGGTTATTATATTGTAAAAAATATAATAAAAAGCAGATTTATCAGTTTATCAATTAAATTACCTGCGTTTCAATAAAATAAAAGCAGAATGTTGTGGAAGGTATCTCTGCAACATGTAAAGATACTTGCTCTTCACAGAGCCGCCTGTTCCTTACAAGTCCATGCATCTCATGACAAGGGCAGATGTGTTTGTCATCAACATCTTCATATTTCTCCTCACCACAAACAGCCAATCCACTCTCAGTTCTACCTGAGTGCCTCCAAATGTAATTTCACCGCATAATTGGATAGATACCCAGTGTCTGTTATCATTGTCTGTGCATTAATCTGAATAGTCCCATTTGTTGTTGACATTGTTTTCAAAGACTTACCCCTAAACACATTTGTATTTCTGCTTAAGTACTCCTTTCAGTTGGCATATCTGTCTTTGATTGTGGTTCTGGAAGAAAGCCTTTTAAATTACGTTATTATATTGTGAAGTTTCTTTAGCAGAAAAGGCAGCCATCTTAAAACACAAAGGGACTTGATGTGTTTAGATTCTTCAAGTCACTCATTGATCTGCACATTGTATTTTGCCACCAACAGTGGCCCGGAGCTGTAGTCATAAATCATGTATTGTGTTGTCACAGAAATCATTTACTCCCATTTCTTTTCACAACATTCAAATCTCTGCTTTTCTAATACCTATACTAAGAGCCTTCATGCACCCCCTGAGGTACACTCTAATTTACTTGTGGTGCCATTGTTAAGCAGACACCTTGATGATGGAAGACCTCCTGTACACAATATGGGATTTCAAAACGTGTCAAGTCGGGTGTAAATCTTAGAGGCGCCTCTGGTGAAACAGATATTAATTTGAAACTCTATGCTTGGCAGACTGATGGTCTCTTTTTCACGTGTATTTCAGAATGAAATGAGTTCTCTGCAGGCTATGGGCGAGGTGAGAAAAAAAAGCTGGGTTGGTCTCTATGGTATAATCCTTAATGAATTCCATTCTTATTTATGACCTGACAGGGCACTGTAACTCACATCTCAATACATACTGAATGGAATTACTATAGCTATACAGTAGCAATTGCATGTCAATTGCTTCTGAAACAAAAGGTTACGAATGACAATCAATCAAAAACTCCATCAGGAAGTTTCTAGGTCAGAGGAAAAGAGCCACAGATCCAAACAAAGAATCCCTCAGATAACTCTTCCGGTATATGTCTTTAAAAAATAGCCTTTCAAAATGTTTCTTTACTGATGATGGACAGAAGATAGTTCCTTTTCTAAGAGGTTGTTGCAATCTCAGTTGTTATTTATGGGACTGCAGGAAGCAAAGGGGAGGATGCTTCATTCTAAACTACTTCAGATTGCTTTATTAAAACATACTTCATATTGGCTTCCAGTGTAACTTGATTGTTCATATCCTAGCAAGGAGAACACTATAAATCATACTAACAGTACACTGCACTCTCTATGAATATATTATTGTTATTGTTTTTAGAGCTGTGCTTTTGCATTTTTTTTTTATTCTTGCAATGTTGCAGTGGATGGAAAGGGAAAAATGGCATTGATTAAAATTAACACCTACCTCCAGAGTGAGCTCTCAGTAACAGCTCCCAGGTTGAAGTCATACAGCTTAGTCAAGATCAGGATCACCTACAACATAACAGCAACAGACATATGTAATTACATGCCAACGTCTGCACTAAAACGCCTTTGAATAAGTACCTCACCGGCATACATTACCTGTCATCTAATGGTGTGGAATAAATACAACATGCTTGCTACATTCCTTTACTGATAAATATCAGCTTCATACAGTATGTTATCCCAATGACAAGTGATCCTCATGCTGTCAAGAGATGTCAGTCTGCTGGTGGCAGGATCTGAAAAAAATCCATGTGGGCTGTCAAGAATTGTGCTTGTATCTCATGTGGAATGATACCTACATGACAGCAAAATCTGAACATAATTGTTCACTGAACAATGAAAAGAAATGTAGTCAGTGGCTGCACTACAGCGTCATCTCTCATTCCCTTTCTTTTTCCTTTTTAAAATTTCTGTCATTCATTTAAAATAGCAAAGGAGTTCAGCTGCAAAAAGCACCAACAAATGTTATCTGAAATGTTGATGGAAGATGTTATGTCACTTATTTCACTCATTGGAAGAGGTCCAGTTTGGGCTAAATGCTTTTGCGTGTTCGCTGAGGATGGTTGGACAATGTGTTTCTGGGGGAACAAAAATGCAGCCCATAAAAGCCTGCCAAGGCACAGAGGGCAGAGTGAAATGGTGTGCAAACGAATTATTGTCACTCCAATGGCATTATAAATGACTTCCCATGGGGATGCTCATAACTCAGGATAGAAAGGGGGGTTAGGGTAGAGAGTTTAGGGCAGCGCATGGAGGGAGGGAGAAGGGATGGCAGATAATAATAATCAAGGACCAGAAACATGGCATAATATGACGAATTAAAAAAAAACCCTGAAAGATGGGTCAAAAGCTCAATTACAGTGAGTTTAAACACATTAACCTTATGGGACCCCCGGAACGAGTCATTAAACTGAGAAAAGCCACACAAGACTCGGAGGAACAAAGACATGTCTCTAAGTCTGCTTTGAAAATGTTAAAAACCCAATTGACCCACAATTTAGCCATCAAACAGCCACTGTGCATGGCTGGGACTATCTGCATTACAGGTTAATTAACCAATCACACAGAGAAATAAGCATTTGCATAACTAAATGCACCATGTCTGCAAGGTCCAACTCTGGAGTCTGAATCAATTTGGAGTACAGACTTAGTTAAATGGCTGTGATGTTAGGCCTAATTGCCTGCTTTGAAAAATGGATACAAGAGAAAAACTCTCCTAAACTGTTGATCGTTTGTCTCTTCAGTTCTCTTTTGCCAACAACAATGACTCTGTGTCATGGGACATCATAAATACTGTGAGGTAAATTGGATCTGGAATTGATTTTATCAGTGTCAAACTAGAGGCAGTTCAATCCTAACCAAAGGGATTCAAATAAAATTGCAAATTAATTGAGTGAGCAACGAATAAAAGGTTCACAGTTTTAGGATTTCAATCACCATTTTTTACATGGATCCAATTTAATCAAATGTTCACGAATTTAGTTGAGGATGTAAAATAAAATAGCCCCAAAAGGCAAAACTTAACAAAAAGCCTCTTAGCACCCAAGCTGTAATTGCCATTAGGGGCCCTGTTTTAACTGACATCAACGTGTTTGTGCAGTTGGCTCATTAACAAAGCTGACCCATTGAATTGGGTCAGTGACGATCTACCTCAGGGACCAACAGACTACTGAGGCGGATGACTGTTTGGATGATTTGTCTCTAAGTGGATACATGTAGAGTACATCACTGGAGACTGTGCATTCCCACGTCTTCAACATTATTGATAGGCTGTGCATGTGTGGCTCAAGTCAATAGGGAGCAACTGTTTTACGTGCAAATGCTGAGACGAGTGGCTGAGAGCGCATGACTTACACATCACATGCGCGACTTACACTATAAGAGCCCAACAAATGAAGTTGCATTAAAAGGCAAAAAGAGTTTACGGTGCAGCCTTGCATTTATGTAAATACTGGGAACAAACAAACACAAAATGGCTTCAGAATTATTTTGAGCCTTCTAGGTAAATACAATTTTCCATGCATATCATCGCTCACTTGCATACATGAAATTAAGTAAGGACCCTGGAAGGCCAAAAGCACTGCATTTATTCATATTTATGTTTTATTGATGTGAGCAAAGAGAGCTTTGCCCCGGGAAAGTCAACCAATCATTTTCAGATTGGCTCTCACCCTCCGAGGAGTTGGGTTTAGTCATCCTTTTATCCTAACATTCTATTCTTGTCGCTTTTTTCACTTCTTTGCATCCCATCTCTCTTTATTTCTGCCTTTGTTCCTTTTCTTTCTTTTCCTTTTAAAAACAGGCTCTCCAGGTACTTTCTTTTGTTGTGTTTTTGTTTTGCATCCCGCATTTTTCACGAGGAACCCGCACATTGAGAAGATTAATAAAAAAAAAATTAAAAAAACCCATTAAAAGTCAGATCACAGTCAGATGCTGTTGAGCCAAGCAAGTATTTTGACTCTTTCAGATGGTTGAACATAGACAGCCAGCATGACAACGAAGGTGTTACAGCCATAATGTCAGAGACATACTGTATTGGCTCGATGCAAATGCCTTATCTACAGGCAGACCTACACAAGCCGCTTGCACGAGCGCTCAAGCCTGCAGCATGTATAGCACATTCACAGACTAAATGAAATCTTTAGAATATCAATCTGTTTTTTGGGGGTTATTTTAAAGAGAAAATGCTCAAATTTTTAAAATGCGTCAGTGGGACGTGAGAGGCATCTGTGGGAAGAAGATTTTCTACACAGCTCGCAATTTAGGTATGAATTATCTCTGTGTACTGTACTGCAATTTGGCTATTAATAAAATGAAATAGACTGTCACTGCACATCAGCTCAGTTTTATTGTGCTTTCTAACACCACACTTCAAATGGAACCTGTTGCTTTTTCAGCCACCAGTAAAGCATCATTAAGACGGCACCCCTCAAACATTATTTCTGCCTAATTGGGTAGTCAAGGGGGAAAAAAAGGGATCCTAAATATCACACTTCCAAAAGACTGTTGTTTCATTCTTTTCTTCTCAGGAGTAACACATCACGGGAAGTAGGAAGAGTCTTAAGAAATGTGAGAAATAAAGCCACTTTCATGCAGATCTGGCTTCATTTTTTTAACTTAACCGGAGGGGGACAACGGAATGATCTAAATTAATTTCCAAGGGACGCCCAAAGTAACAGTGAATGTTATAACATGGATAACGACTCTTTCTCAGAGAAGCATTGACATATATTTATATTTTTTTTTACCTTTAGCCTCCTGTGAAATATTCACTGCAGAAATGGTACACATTTACATTCTCATGAATACACATAAGCTTTTGTATATTGCACTGGAGGGTAAACACATCCATTCACACAGCCATCTCCCGGGAGTAACCCTTGTCTATTTACCTCCTCTGAGTCCAACCACAACATCAAAACGTCTGACAATTCGCTGAAATGTGTCAACAATAATTAAATCATTTGTTAAATATAAGCTTTCATAGGCTGATTTTTATCCAAATACGCTACCTTTATCTGTCAGCTTAGGTCAGGTTTTGTGACCTTATCAGATCTGATAAACACAGTAAAAGGTGGGTTTTGAATCCATCAAGTGATCGAATTAAAAATAATCAGACAAGACTTTACAGCAGACGTTCTTTTATTTACATGGGCTATGTGTAGATGCACGTGTACAGAAAGTATATATTTGTGTGTACTTTTTGTGTTTTTCTATTTTCCAACAAGAAACTCAGGCTGTGAAGATGTCCTGTACTAGATAATAATTTTGTAATTCATAATAATAACAACTTTATTGAACCAGAAAAGTGCCTAACTGAGATTAAACAATCTCTTTTACAGGCAGCAGCACACAGAAAATACAACATAGAGGTTACAAAACATGTAACACAGACTACAGCTAGACCAATATATGAGCGAATATTAGCTTAATGCAGATTTATCGTATTGGTTTATATGTTGGCCGAGTTCAGCTAGGTTTGAGGTAATTTAGAAACAGTGTCTCCTTTAGTTTGTCCACCAGAGAGCACTGACAAGGTGACAATGTAAAAGGTCCCACTTAATAATGAAATGGGTTCCAATTTATAAAGTAGCTATAATCAATATTTTTTTTAAACAACAATGTATCAAATGACAATGTAAAGTTAAAAGAAGTCAGTCGTAGTAGTCTGCAGAGAACTGTCACCTGAATCTGCAGCTCAGTTTTCCAGAGATTTTTTTGTGATTTTCAGCTCATTGTTTAGCTGTCTGGCTGCAACTTTACTGTTTTGGTTCACTCTCACTGCTCTCATAGCGTAGTTTTCCATCACAGCAGGCAACTGTTTTCAGTAAAGAAGGTATAAAAACCCTTTGTTCACTACCTGCTCAGCACTAGCTCATGAACACAGTGGAGCATTTAGCGGTTAAGGGCCAGATATTTCCCCCAGGAGTTGGTAGAGACCAAAAACAGAGCCAAAAGAAAAGTGAATACTGGACTTAGATTCACCAGGTGGCCACAGACAAGACTTTAAATTAATAATAACGTTACTCAATAACTGCTGGATGTGATAATAAGCACATCCAGCATTTGTTTTGCTAACAAACTGTTTTCCTAATAAACTAAAAGTTACGATGTCAATGTTGTATACACATCTTGTTTCCACAACCCTCAAGTGACGAAACCTAGTAAGAGAGTAAAACAGATCAGATCAAAAAATTAATATAAAATGATAAAATAGCATCAACCTATATACCCCTACAAACCGATAAGCAACAAATATATTACAATAATTGAGGCAATCATAAAAACACTGATGATCACAACAGATAAATAAAATGAATAAAATAAAGTCACCTCTAAGCCATAAAGAATCTTTTTTGAGAGAAAATGTCTGAGTCAATAAGACAGATCTGGGTGATGCCAATCTTTAACATAATTTTTTGTACTCGTGTGTCGATTACCCAAAAATTGACTCTCTGCCATTAGTGCTTTGAATAAGAAGCAGAAGAATGGTTTGGAAGAGGAAG